GGGTCTTTTTAATTTCCGAAGAAGCCTTTTTGTATATCTAAATGCTGGTGGAGCTTCAGGTTAATCACTTTCCTGAACCAGAAATATGATACAAACAATAGCGGTAATGCTAATTGCTGGTGATTTTCAAATCGTATGGTGGGTAGGAGCATGGACTTTTTAGAATTCTTCACCACTATGTGACCCTGGCCAATTAATGTAACCTCCCTGCTTTTTTTCTCCACTGGGCTATGGAGAATAATCATGGTAGAAACTATTGCCATCTCCATTTTACGATTGAGGAAATGGAGGTGCACGAATGGCCCCAGAGCTTGCTTAGGGTCACCCCTAAATGCAGCTGGGGGTTTAAATCTGCACAGTCTGATTGCAGACTCTGGGCTGTTAACTGCTGCTTTCTCTTCCCTCTTGTGTGCATTTCCCTTTGGTCAATCTTGCACTGGCGCCAGTGGTGTCCACCTGTAACCACCTGTAGTAAGTTGGAATTGAAATATCCCCTTTGTTGTCTTGCACCAAGCAAGACTCTGACATGTCACAGTCTGGAGCTAAGTGGTTCTTAAACCTGGAGTTTCTGAATCCCCGTTTCAGAAGCGGGGCTCTGAAAGGTAAAAGCCATTCCTCTGGGTCTGTGGTTCTCAGTGGAGGTGTTGTGGAAATCTACGGGGCAGTCGTCACTGTGATTGGGATGCTACCACCATTTAGTGGGTGGGACAGGCGTGGTAGCTCTCCTTAGTGTGTAGACAGTTGGGCTTCATGAAGAATCGCCCTGCTCCCCACTGAACTTTCAAATGTGCCGCTGGACTGTCACCAACTTTTTTCCTCTCTCTCAGGTGGGAATGCATTTTACATACGATCTCAGATTAATTTTTCGCATGATCTTAATTTACTTTTAACATACACTGACTTTCTGAGGAACATAACTGTTGTGTCTTAAATTTTATTAGTTTGAAACTGTACCAAGAGGTTTTCAGCATTTCAGAAACTTCATGTCATGCTGTTCCTGATAGTTCGAAATGGCAATACAACACATCTGTATCGGTTTGCATTGTGCAGTTACTGCATTATGCTGTTTCTAGGAATAGGAAGAGACATTTAACAATTTCTTTGTATTCTAGGGCCCTACTTCTTCAAAGTTTAATGTGTCCATGCATCACCTGGGAATTTGTTATGAAGCAGATTGTGAGTGGGGGAGGGGCTGAGATTCTGCATTTCTAACAAGTTCTAGGCTGATACCAACGCTCCTGGCCCTTGGACCTCACTTTTAGTAATTAATGAGAGTGTAGTGTATAATAGTACACCTGAGCATTTTCTTTTGAAGTCCTATTTTATTATAACCTACCATTTAAAAAATTTTGAAGTGAGAACATATCGATTTAAGAAATAATAGTAGGTAAGTTATTATCTATGAATTACATGTCAGACTAAGAAAAAGGATGTAATAAAAATTTTGTTTTGAGGGTGGTATGATGGGCTTGATGGGGTGAGAGCCACTTCTGGGTGACAAAGGGATGCTAATTATAAACACAAATGAAATTACAGACCTCAAAATCATGAGGTAGTGACTTAGAGTATGCTCATGTTAATTATTCAGAACAGGTTATCATTCATTTATTTATTCTTTTTTTTTTTGAGTCAGAGTCTCACCCTGTTGCCTGGGCCAGAGTGCCGTGGCATCAGCCCAGCCTAGCTCACAGCAACCTCAAACTCCTGGGTTCAAGCGACCCTCCTGCCTCAGCCTCCCAAGTAGCTGGGACTACAGGCATGTGCCACCATGCCCAGCTAATTTTTTCTATATATTTTTAGTTGGCCAATTAATTTCTTTCTATCTTTAGTAGAAACGGGGTCTGGCTCTTGCTCAGGCTGGTTTTGAACTCCTGACCTTGAGCGATCCTCCCGCCTTGGCCTCCCAGAGTGCTAGTATTATAGGCATGAGCCACTGCACCCGGCCTCATTTATTTATTCTTTAAACAAATATTTATTGAACACCTGCCATGTGTGCTATGTGCTGGCCACTGTGTCTATGTACTCTGTGTGTTTGACATGTATCTGTGAACAAAATAAAGATCTCCAGTCTCCTTTACCTTACCGTCTAATCTTCTAATGGGGGAGACAGACAGTACACATTCTAGGTAAATTATATGGTGTTTTAGATAAATGCTATGAATTATTGGAGGATTAGGAATGCTGGGGGTGAAGGGAATAGGGTGAGCAGTTCCAATTTTAAATAGGGTCATCAGAGTTCTCATTGAGAATGTGAGATTCGAGCAAAGACTTCAGGTGGTTAGGTCGTTGAACATGCGGACACCAGGAGAAAGAGCAATCCTGTTAGAGGGAACAGACAGTGCAAAGGCCCCAGTGCTTGAGAACGACTGGCTGGCCTGTTTGAACAGCTGCAAGGACACCAACGTGGCTGGATAATGAAAAGGAGTGTTTAAGGTCAGAGAGGTGACAGGGGCCAGATCACATAGGGACTTGTAGTACATCATAGGGCCTTTGCTTGTGCTTTGACTGAAATAGGGGGTGGGGGTGTGGGTTTGGGGGGAAGTTATTGTAGGTTATGAGCAGGAGTGAGTGACATGATCGCACTTGAGTTTTTAAAAAGCCCCCTCTGGCTGTGTGTTGCAAATGGCCTCTGGGGGCAAGGGTGGAAGCGAGGAGGAGACCAGTTAGGGGCCATTGCAGCATCCAAGCCCCCGATGATGTAATGATGATGTAATGTTGGTGGTGAGAAGTGGCCGGGTTCTCGTGTGTTTTTGTGACATTTGAAATGCAAGATTAAAAAAATTCTCAGAGCTCGAGGTTTCCAACAATACTTGTGTGCTTGTGTGCAGATTTTGAGGAAAATCTGAAGTGGCTGACACATATGACCACGGTTCCATGTTCTTTTCCTTCTTGGGGTCATGTGGGTTGTGCGCACATGCATGCTCTAAGGAGGGGCGTGTGTCTGCGTGCCAGCAGTTAGTCACATACAGCGAGCAGCTATCTGAGCTAGTAGGAGCTTAGAATAAAAAGCGAAGCAACACTGAATGGAACTGTCTGGTGCCGAAAACCTCACACATTTCTTCTTGATTAAGCCAGAATATATTTTTAGTAAAAACATATGCTGTTACTCAATTAATGTTTCTTGTAATACTCTGATAGTAAATCAAAGATAAATATTCAATTTTCTCATCCCACTCTCCTCATGAGCCCACTTGTACCTCTACTTTCTTAGACTCTGAGTAGAGAAATTTTGTTAGCACATTTGCTTTAAGCTGACTGAAATCTTTCTGACTTGAAATATGCATTATGTAGTTTTGCTGTAGATTTTCAAATATTAACTTGAAAATATGGGCGCAGTTTGAGATGTCTTCTGATATGTGTGCGCAACTCATCTTTTTTTTCTGTGCAGATCACGATTTCAGTGACCTTCTGTGCCTGTAGACTTGATTGCCATACAGCTAAATTTCTTATAGTGGGGTCTTTTGAAAGCCCGCCAAAGCAGTGGCCCGCCAAGGTATTAGTAAGAGCATACGTAATTAAGTAAAGTTACATGGCATGTCTCCAGGAGACCTCAGTTTTCAGCCAAGGTGACCTTTTTAGACTTTGGTCAGGTGCTTAAATGTCATAAACTGTTTTGTCCTAAGGCTTCCTGATTAATCGTAGCAATGATTTTGATCAGTTACATTTTTTTTTTTCATTTTACACTTGTAGCAATTAAGAAGAATAAGTATATTATCATTCTTATCATTCTTGTGCTGTGGCTACCATTACTTCAGCTGTCACTAAGATAATGTCTTGGCTTGGAGTGAGGGGAGCAGAAGGTAGCTTCATTTACTCAAAACTCTCCCTCTTGTTCCTTTAAGTCTGTGTTTTAGGAGCTCTGATTTAGTTCCATAACTCAATGATAATATGGGCAGGGCAAGGAGGTCTTTCTTTTTTTTTTAAGCCTTGGGTTATTTTTGACGTGTTGTGACCTTGGAAAAGTTTTCCTATGTCTATCTAGTAGGAGATCTTTTTAAGGAGAGTAGGAGTTATAGCTATGTATTTTTAGACCACATTTTCATGTGGCATTTGTTCATTGGTGGTGTGTAGTGTCATGGAAATTTCTCTTCCTAGTGTGGGATTTAGAAGATAATATTTCTGTTCTGGCTTTGTCCAGTTGCTCCCGTAGCTTAGCGATCCACGATATTCTCATCTGTAAAACAGGCATGAAGACACGTGCCTGCCGTCTCCCTCAGAGTCGGTAAAAACCAAGTGAGCGAAGATGCATGAAAGAACATTGCAAGTGCTGTGCTTTCCTCCAGTTGTAGATTGTGGTGGTGTGATCACAGAGCATGTGCCCAGGGACCCTTCATTTCTTTTTAACTCATGATGGGGTCTTCGGTAAGGTGGGTGAGCCAGCTCTGTAAAATTAAAATAAGGATGTGCACTGGGGTTGGCAGTGAAGGTGGAGTCAAACTATGGGCTTCTGGAAACAATTCTAGTTCAGAATCTGTATCATTTTATGTTTCTGTAGGGTGATTTTTGCTCATTTCCCCCCCCCCCAACTTATAAGTTAAAAATTTTCAAACTTACAGAAAAGTTAAAAGAATGGGGAACCTGTAGCCTCAAGGCCACATGTGGCCCTCCAGATCCCCAAGTGTGGCCCCTTGATCGAATCCAAACTTCACAGAACAAATCCTTTTCTTAAGAGGATTGTTCTGTAAAATTTGGATGAAGTCAAAAGGCAATAATACTCAAGATCCACCCAGAAGGCCACATGTGTCCCCAAGGCTGCAGGTTCCCCAACCTTGCCGGGCAAGTTAGTAGTTGTTAACATTTGCCACATTTGCCTTCTCTCTCTATCTGCACATGTATATATTCGTTTTTAAACCTCAATTTCTGCTTTTGTTGATTGTTGTTCTTTCAACAATTCTCTTCTACAGGGTGTAGCGAACTTAGTCATTACGCAGGCTGCGGTATGCTAAATGATGTTGAAGCTTTTACGTCCTCCTGCTCAATCATTGCTTTCTCTTAAACAGGATGAACTTACTGCCGTGAATGTAAAGCAAGGCTTCAACAATCAGCCAGCCTTCACTGGAGATGAACATGGCTCGGCCAGAAATGTTGTAATCAATCCATCAAAGGTAAGGCTAGTTGTCTGTTTTCTAAAACTTCTGAAAGAGTGTGTGTATGTGACACCCTTGATAGTTAATGTTGATAAATTATTGTGTCATTTAAGCCACAATCCATATTCAGAATACCCCCAAATATGTTATGTGCTGTCCTACCTTAGGATCCACATTGCATTTGGTTGTCATATCTTTTTAGCCTCTTTTAATCTAGATTTAATCTAGAATAGTAAAGCGTTCCACCTTCCCCAACCTCTTTTTTTAAGGCTTTCATGACTGCTAAAAAGAAGAGTCCAGGCCAGTTGTCTTATATTCTAGTTCTATATTCTAGGTTTGTTTGATTGATTTCTCATGACAGGCTTCAGGTTAGACATTTTTGGTAAGAATACTACCTTGCATCGTATCAGGAGGATGCTAGTTTTCCCTGTCATTGGTTATGCTAAGTTTGACCACTTGGTCAAGGTGGTGGTCTCCATCTCCCTACATTGGAAAGCTGGTAATTTCTACCTCTTAGTAATGTCTATGGGATGATACTTTGAGATATATTTGAATTTAATATTAAAATATTTGATATTCAAATATACTTTAAATTGTATTTATATTTGAATATAAAAAATCCTATTCTCCAATAACATTTTACTCTATTATTTTATTAGCATCAGTTGATTCCTGCTGATTGATTTATTTTGGGGTCACAAAGTGGTGGTTTCTAATTACCATTCCTCATGCATATTTTAATTGGCATTCTTTTGTAAAGAACAGCTTCCATTACACTCCAACTTTTTACTATCATTTTAGATTTTTTTTTTAGTATTACCCATGGATTCTTTTTTTAAAAATTTGATGTATTATAATAATCCATACCTTCATTTTTCTTTTTGATGCTCAGATTGTTCCTTGTTTGGCCAGTAGAGGCCCCTCTAACCTGGCTCTTGTTTAATGTGCATTTCATTTTTTAAGTACTTCTTACTTTTAGCACAATAACATATTCCAGGCTCATCTTGTTCTTTCCCTGTCCCAGCCAAGATCAAGATGCCAGGCATGCTCAGTGCTCCTAGAGTGTTATTACTTCTAGGCCCTTTCAGTGGACATAGATGGGAAACATATAGATATTTTTTTTTCCTATCTGCCTATCACTCATTACCATTTCTAACTTGATACAGCAGGGTTTTTCCCTGCCTTTTCCTGTTCTGTCTTTTTTTTTTTTTTTTTTTTTTTTTGAGACAGAGTCGCTTTGTTGCCCAGGCTAGAGTGAGTGCCATGGCATCAGCCTAGCTCACAGCAACCTCAAACTCCTGGGCTCAAGCGATCCTCCTGCCTCAGCCTCCCAAGTAGCTGGGACTACAGGCATGCGCCACCATGCCCGGCTAACTTTTTCTATATATATTAGTTGGCCAATTAATTTCTTTTCTATCTATAGTAGAGACGGGGGTCTTGCTCTTGCTCAGGCTGGTTTCGAACTCCTGACCTCGAGCAATCTGCCCGCCTCGGCCTCCCAGAGAGCTAGGATTACAGGCATGAGCCACCACGCCCAGCCTGTTCTGTCTTTTTATCTCCTTTCTCTCACAGTGAGAACCCTGGCTCTCGATAACATCAATGTATTTATTCATTTACTTTATCTTACAATACACATAAAAAAGTTCCAGAATAAACTATACCAGTGCCACTCCAAGAACAATTACTATATAAAATTTACAATTTTTATATAATACTTTTTGTTCATAGATTAACCTTCATTAAAAGTATATAGTCAGAATGTTGGCTGGGTATGGTGGCGTGTGCCTGTAGTCCCAGCTACCTGGGAGGCTGAGGCAGGAGGGTCACTTGAGCCCAGGAGTTTGAGGTTGCTGTGAGCTAGGCTGACCCCATGGCACTCTAGCCTGGGCAACAGAGTGAGACTGTCTCAAAAAGAAAAAAAAAGTAAAAAAGTATATAGTCAGAATGCTGTGTTCAAAAATTTATTGAATTAAATGTCTTTTTCTGTATGTTTATCTTACTATTTAAATATATAAATAGAATTGTTTGTTTCTGTTTGGATTCTTTTAGGGTCTGTTTTCCATCTTTTTGAGCTATTTTTATTTTTTGGTTATTAAAATACTTTTATGAAATTAAAAACATCTTACATACAAATAAAAAGAAATCAAACATATAGGTGAATTTCTACTTCCTTCCCCTTCTCCAGAGAAACATGTTAATGGTTTACCATGTATCATTCCAGATCTATTTTGATATGCACACATGTATGTATAAATACATAAGTAATTGACAGTTTGTTAAACTATCAACTGAAGATAATAGAAGAATTTTCTGCAGATAATCGCATTGACTATACACAATGATTTTTGTTTTGTCTTTTCCAATCTTGAGACATTTTTTACAACTATAATTATGTATATGTAATTTGTGTTCTTATTTTGTTGTTGTAAAATATGTTTAACATTTATCATTTAATCTTGTTAAGTGTACTGTTCTTGAGCATTAAGAACATTTGCATTGTTGTACAACCATCACCACTGTCTGCTTCCAGAACTTTATTATCTTTCTTAACTGATCTACTTTTTGAAAATGAAACATTATCTTGTATGTACTTTTCCGTGTGGCTGAAGTATTCATATTAATAATAATTCATGGATAGATAACATTCCATCATGTATGTGCTGTAATTGACTGAAACCTCTATGTACAGCAATTAGTTTGTTGCTGCCTTCTCGTGATTATTTGTAAAGAACTTATAGTCATACTTGAACATACAACTTTTGTTCTTTAGGATAAATCCCCAGAAGCATATTACTACTTGAGGTGTATTAGTCTTCTAGGGCTCTGCTATAATAAAATACCACAGGATAGGTGGCTTAAATAACAGAAATTTATTTTCTCATGGTCTGGAGGCTGGAAGTCCACGACCAAAGTTTCAGCAGGTCTGGTTTCTCCTGATGCCTCTCTCCGTGGCTTGAGATGGCCACCTTGTCACTGTGTTCATACATGGCCTTCTCTCTTTGTGTGCTCATTCCTGGTGTCTCTTCCTCTTCTTATAAATTATGGACAGCAGTCTTATTGGATTAGAGCCCCACTCTGTCACCTCATCTAACCTTAATTACTGCCCGGGCGTGGTGGCGCACGCCTATAATCCTAACACTCTGGGAGTCCCAGACAGACAGATTGCTCGAGGTCAGGAGTTCGAAACCAGCCTGAGCAAGAGTGAGACCCCCGTCTCTACTATAACTAGAAATAAATTAATTGGCCAACTAATATATATAGAAAAAATTAGCTGGGCATGGTGGTGCATGCCTGTAGTCCCAGCTACTTGGGAGGCTGAGGCAGAAGGATTGCTTGAGCCCAGGAGTTTGAGGTTGCTGTGAGCTGGGCTGACGCCAGGGCACTCACTCTAGCCTGGGCAACAAAGCGAGACTCTGTCTCAAAAAAAAAAAGAGCATTAAAGAAAAAATAACCTTAATTACCTCTTTAAAGGCCCCATTTCCAAATATAGTCTTATTGGGGGTTAGGGCTTCAACGTATGGATTTGGGGCATTTGGATGTACGATTTAGTATGTGACAGAGTGTGACTGCTTTAAGTCTCTTGATATGAACTGCGAAATTGTTCTCAGTTGTATCATTTTCTGTTAAATAACTGAATAAATGATAACATTCATTATACTTCTGCTACTCCTATTCCTGTGAGATTTATTCAAGGACTCAAGCTTTCTGGGGGAATTTGATTTTATAAATATGAAATATATGAACTATAACTCCTAAACTTTTTTCCATATTGTTAGCAAATAAATTATTTTCAAAATAGCTTTGGATGGATGGGAACAAGTGTTAAATTTAACTTTGTTTCTCATACCTTGTTTGAGGGAGTACAAAATGACATAAATCTTTTGGAAGACAATTTGGCAATGCTTATTAAAATTGTAGAGTTGTACAATCTGAATTCTGGAAATTTATCCTAAAGCTATTCCTGCATATGTATGAAATAACAAATGTGAAAGGCTATCCATTTTAACATGATTTATAATAGCAAAATTTTGGAACAAATGCTGCAAATGTCCATTAATGGTAGCTTGATTAAATAAAATGTGGTACATTCACATAGTACATTATTATATATCTATAAAAATGAAGAAGCTCTCCATATACAGATGTGGAATGCTCTCAGACATTTACTAAGTGTGTACAATGAGCTATACATACCAAGAAAGAGAAAAATAATAAATGTGTTTGCTCATATGTATTCACCTAAAGAAACACTGGAAGGATACATACGAAACTAATCAACTTGTTTACTTGGAGGTAGGCATTGAGACTTTATTACTGTTACAATAAAATTAAATGTTATAATCATGTTTTGCCTTTTTTTTTGAGCCCTAATGTATATTTTCTCTTCTCTTGCTTTCTTGGGAATTTTGACTTTGTTTACAAGGTTATTAGCAAGCATTAAAACATATATGCGATCCCCATATTCCATTGCTATCCTTCAGTACATAGAAGAGAGTATAATTATAAAACAGATTGCTCAGATTACTTTTTTTTTCAGTTTTATACTTTGTTTATTATTAATAAAATGCTCATGCATAATTGCAAGTAAGAGACCTTTTAAGTATAAAACAGTCTGCAGTGGTAGGTGTTTTGTGCCCTTGGTTCAAAAATCAAATATCAATTGACTGCTGGGCGTGATGGCTCACACCTGTAATCCTAGCACTCTGGGAAGCTGAGGCAGGAGGACTATTTGAGCTCAGGAGTTCGAGACCAGCCTAAGCAAAAGCAAGACCCAGTCTCTACTAAAAAATAGAAAGAAATTAGCTGGACAAGTAAAAATATATAGAAGAAATTAGCTGAGCATGGTGGTACATGCCTGTAGTCCCAGCTACTTGGGAGACTGAGACAGGAGAATCACCCGAACCCGGGAGTTTGAGGTTGCTGTGAGCTAGGCTGACACCATGGCACTCTAGCCCAGGCAACAGAGTGAGACTCTTGTCTCAAAAAAATAATAAATAAATAAACAAATATCGAGACATTTAAAATTAAACAATTGGCTGCTTGTTTCTAAACCACTGGTTTTGCTATGTTTTTGCACTTAATTTATTCACTGTTAGGACATTCTGCAAACATTTGCTTAAAAAAAATCATAAAAACAACAATGAGGTTGTTTATCTTAAATAAAAAAGAAAAACCTTCAAACTTTTTTTTTTCTACTTCATCTAATTTTTATACCATTTCACATCAACACACCAAAAAAGACTTTTTATCATACATCAATCACAAGGATCAAGGAATACCAGTTCACATTAAAAATAGCTGTACCAGCTTTTCACACTGGTATATAAACTTAGCTAACAGCTTACAACTGTGTTCCAGCCTACAGACTAATTGTTTACTGACTCGTGAATATTAACTAAGGTAGTTATTTTGTTTCACCAGTGTAGATATTTTATTTTACTCATAGTTGCCTCTGTTTGCTAACCTTATTGGGGTTATTTATTAGAAATTATTGACTGTGCCATATTATTAAAGAATTCCGTGGTCTAAATTGTGATGCTTTCATAGGATTCTTGAAAATTCCTTTAGATTTCTATAGATTCACTGAATTTTTAGGTATTACTTTATTCCATTTTTTGTCTTTTCTTCCTGTCCCTTCCTGCTTCCTTTGTCTGTCTTTTAATTTGGTTAATATGAAAATGATACTGTAATTCACAGAAGCTCCTTTTGCCAGTTTTTCCCATTCAGAGCAGGTAACACCGGCTTTCTCTGGAAGCATTTGTATTCATGAAATTGGCAGCCCAATCAAAAATGATGAATACCAAATTTAATTGAACCTTTTGTGATTTGTCATTTAAATAAATTAAATTTCTCTAGACTTTTTAAAAAAAGCATTGAGTATAAATACAGAGTTTCATCTACAAAAATATGTGCTATTAAAATGAAACAAGAAAAGAAATGATTACTCTGTGATTACTAGACTTTCTCTTCTTGTATGTAGCACCTCTCAGGAAAAACATTCTCTTCCTGACCAGTGTATAGTATAAAAAAGTACAGCTGAAGGATTAAATCAGAACCCATTCTCTTGAAATTTATTCAGAATGTAGTTAATTTCATCTTACCAGAGATTTTCCAAGGGCTCTTATGTTTCCTTGAACTACTATACTTGTTAATAGTGGTACAAAAGTGATGTGAGTTTTTGCAACATGTTAGTATTAATATAAGGAAATCATAGCTCTTGGCTTCAAGGACTTAAATTACCAACTTATTTCCTGATGGAATGTATGAAGATTTTCAATTAAAACAATGAAGATAAAATACTAGTATACAGTACTAAGATACTTACTGTTTTAAATTTTTTTCTTTTCTTTGTTTCCTCTTTTTATAGATTGGAGCTTATTTTAGCAGCATATTAGCTGAGAAACTCAAGCTTAACACTTTCCAGGACACCGGAAAGAAGAAACCACAAGTTAATGCGAAAGATAATTATTGGCTGGTTACTGCTCGATCCCAGAGTGCAATTCATAGTTGGTTTTCTGACTTAGCAGGAAATAAACCACTTGCTATTTTGGCCAAAAAGGTATCAAGTATTTCTTACATTTTTTTAAATTATGGTCTTACAAAAATGGAGCTCGTTGTTGGAGATGACATTCAAGTATATATATCTTTTCCCCAATTCTCTCCGAAAGTGGAAGCCTGAATGGCAGGTATACAGCTTCACAGGTGTGCTGCCTGTGTGCTGGTTTCCCCTTTATTTTGACTTCCTGTGGTGCCACGGACATCTGTCACCTTAAACATTCCACATAGCAAGCAGTTTTATGTGCACTGTAGGTAGATAAGATTTTTAAATCAAGAACAGGCAGTACGATTTTGTTTCCTTTTCTATTGCATTTTCAGTTTTCTTAGGTCAAGAGAGCCAAGATTTGTTAAAAAGATCCTTGCTTTGAGGTTATTTTCTTGTCTTTAAAAGTACCCATTCACATGCTTCAAGCTAAGTCTCCTTCCTACCAAGTGAGATAAAGATTGTGATTCTGTGTGTGCTTGCTCTTTGAAAAAGTTTTAGAACAAAATGGGCAGGTTTATTCATAGCTTCCAGCTTTTTTTGTTGGGGGTGTGTGTGGGAAGTTCTTTTAAAATCTTTGCCTTTGGTCATTTTCCTGAAGTGAGAAATAATATGCAGATCCAACAATCTTATAGTCCAAATAATATATCTTTTTGAAATTTAGGTAAGAATCTAGAAACTTCCCTCGTAGTCCTGATCTTTGACTTCTTGTACACCTTCGAAATAATCCCAGGGGTCTTTTCTCATTTCCCCTGAAGCCCTTTAGTTTTAGGGATACCTATCTTCTGTTCCTAGTATTAAGTGTTCATTACCAGCTTGGTATAGGCTCAGTTTATAGGAGAGCTCGTTCGTGTATTTGCTTATTTTCTAAAGAACTCTTTAAAAATACTGCTTAAGCTTCCACTAGCTTTGTTTGCATTAATGTCATAACATCGTAGTGCCTTGCATAGATTTCAGTGGTTAAAGGCAAATGAAATCCTTAAAAAGCATAATAACAGCATAAACACCTTTTACCATTCAGTTAGTGCCACTGTCTCAACCCAGGCTGAACTGTATAGGACTTCTTTACCAAGGGTGAAAATTTACTTTGTGGTACCACTGTGGCCTATGAATTGTATCTGAAGGCCATATAAGTCATAGGGAGTCCTTCAGTATTTGATGGCTTTTGCCTAACAGTTTATATTTGCAATGCTGTCAGCCTGGCATCTGTCTTTTTATAATTTTCCTTTTTTTATAAGCTTTTAGGAATGCATTTTTTCGATGTTTCCTGAATGTGAATACTAGTGAGCAGTTGATGCCCTTACTCTAGGGGTGTAGTGGTCTCTCATCTTTTAGGAGGGAGATGAATTGTGGTGCAGTGTATTAGCTATTGTTCTTCTTTCTTTATTAGGAGCTGCCTCTGGCCAAGTCAGGTGTTACTCAGGTAAGCCCTGATGTTAATTCCTTGTAAACTTAAAAGATGTTTTCTTTATGAAACCATGGAATATATCCTGAAGTATTCATTTCTTGGGCATTTCCAGAGTCCCTTCCCTGCCCTCCTTAGCATATCATCTTCTTGAGCTCACGAAACCTCGTTCAGAGGTATGTAAAGGATTGCATTCTCTGTATGTCCATCATATCAGTTCAAATACTTTTTAAATTTCTGGTATTCACTTGGCTTAAGGCAGAAAACCTCTATTTACCTGGTAAAATCCTGAGTCATCTTCCAACTCTTATCTAGAGTTCACAATGGTTTCCTTTATGGGATGGATCATGTTTCGGGACCTGGTTTTCTGTTACCATGAAGCTCCACAGCGCTCCAAGTGTTTAGCCACAGAGAGGGCTGTAAAGGACCTTTTAACTCAATCATGATTATAGATTGGTTTCGAAAAGGAGACCTCATACTAATCTTCTAGGTCTTGAACGGTTGACTGGTTTTCACCCGTTCACTTCAGTTGGCTTGATTACTGCGGTCTGTGAACTTTGCTTTTGCCTGCACCCTTGCTTAGCAGGGGATGCACATCCAAGGGGAAAGGTGGTACAAGGACAGCCGGCACATGCTAGGTGTCTTCATTTTCTCTGGGTCCTTAGGTGCAGCTCTAGCTTGACTTAGAAACTAAACAGCTGCCCATTGATTTCCTACTTTCAGCTACAATTTAAAGTCAGATGGTTTCTTTACTGAAAGAAATGGAATCCAACACTGTGAGGAAGTCATACTTTAGTCAGGGTAAACATTTTTTCCTTTCTGAATTGGCCCAAACTGTGGATTTGACAAAACCATCAATATGTGTCTTCTTTCTTAATCAAATAACTTTCTTCACATATGTCCATTTGAATTCCAAAGCCCCTGGTTTGAGTCAACCAGTTTTCTTAGTATTCTGCCAGTAGGGACAGTGAACGAGAGGTTTTTTGTTGTGCTCTTAGTAATAGTAAGATCCATGACTAAGTTTGTTTGCTATTTCATCTAAATATTTCACATGTTTAAATGTTTTATTTTTTTTCTTCTGTCAGTTGCTATTCCAAAGAAATCCTTTAGGCATCTATGAAAGATACTACTAGTAGTGATTCTTTGGAGGTGCTAACTTTGCATTTGTTTATGTTTTAGGCCTTGACTTATATACCCTTTTGGCATGTCTGAACGAGAGGCAGTCTCACCTTCACAGCTAACGTTTAACTCACTGACACCATACTATATGTTCTAGCGAAAGACAGCAGCTCAGGTCTTGAACTGAATATTTAACCCTGTGCTTTTCTTGTCCCTGACTTAAATGATGGCCATGAGAGATGTGCCTTGTAAGCTAAATTCTCAGGAAGTTTTCTTGTTGAATTGTGTCTTTTTTTGTTAAAATGTATCTAGTCTGCAGAGAGGGAGGGAGCCTTCTAGCTTTGGCCTGCGTGATTTTCATCTCCCGTTTAGTTGTGCTTGAGCTGTGTGATCACCTCTGTCACGGGGGCTGTGTTCTGAAGTCAGCACCCAAGGCAGCGGCTGTAAACGATCAAAAAGCCTCTTCAGTTGCCCATGAAACTACCTCTCAGTGTCCCACCCAGGCAGCCTTTCCTTCAGCACTGAAACAGCTTGATGTTTCTTTGGTGAGACTGAGTGAAATAGCTTGTTTTCAGGGACATATACAAAAAATACTTGTTTTCTAATTTTAGGATCATACTTTGTACCAAGTGTGCGAATAGTCAAATTTGGAGCATGATGCACTAACTCCACTCTATAAGTGAGGATTTGGTTAATTATGGGGAAAATAGCATGCGATGTGAATCAGTTAGCTAGTTTGAAGTCTTGATTTTCAACACAAAATTAAGTAACAGTTTGGGGCAGAGAGACCAGTGCTCTTGATATCCATGGTTGTGGAGTTCAGGATCTTCTAAACTAAACAAAGGGTCAAGTCTAGGGCCACTTTGGCTCTCATGGAGAAATCTTTAGACCTGGCAACAAAATAATTATTGTTATAATTTTGATGCATGTGATCCTTTTGCTTTACCCTTGTAACTATTATGGGGGCAGGATGGGGTTGGTATTATCACAGCTCATGAATGAAGAGCCTGGAAGTGAAGGGCTTTAGAAATAGGCCAGGCCCAGGAATGGAGTATGGAGGAGGGGTTCAGCCCCGGTGCTGGCATGTCCTCACCTCTCAGTCCGGTTGCTCCCATCCTGCTGCATCACAGCTCACATACCCTTTGTTCATTATTTTTCTTTATATTCATATATTGAATAGATTAAATAGATGAATAGGGTATTCCTAGGGTATTTATGAGGGATGCTAGAGAAATGAATTAACTCTTTCAAACCATTCAGTGGTACACTGGGATACTAATTTGCTAAGTAGTACCTTTGTGGTCTGGAAGAAATAATTAACTGCCTCAAGTGCCTACTTTTAACCAGAGAATTAATTATCCAGCTATTTGTAGCTCAGTGTTTATTAGGCAGATTCACTGATCTGTCATTTTTTTAGCCTCTATTTTAAGTGTTGGGTTAACTACTTTTAGAAGCTTCCTGGAAATTGTTACTCTTATGAAATGTTAGTCAGAAGCTTTATACAAAAAAAGGTTCCTGGATAAAATATAGTGTAGGGACAATTTTTCACTTGATCTGTCCCTTCCAATTTTGAGAAATTCTTTGGAGGGCTGTCATGAAATTATTTTTCCCTGCTCTGTTGATCAGTAGCTCTCAGCATGTGAGAATTTGAAAATAATGTGTTTTTAAAATAAGAAAGCATAACTGATGAAACTGTTTGCCATTGTGCTAAACATAGTTTTGATTCATTTTTCTTAATGAAAATTGACTTAAAATGTTTCTTTTTTCTTTTAACTGTATGCACTATTTGAAAAGCCATTAAGCTTCTACTTTCTTATAGCCAGTAGGTAACTTATAGCCTCTTTTTTTTTTTGCATCTCCTTTTTTTAGGTTTGTCTAGTTGATGAATGCAGTATTTGATTATTATAAATATGCTGTGTTATTTCTTTTTAGGTTCCCATCCTTAGTAAAAAAGAGGATGTCTTTGCATATCTAGCTAAATATTCTGTGCCCATGGTTCGAGCAACATGGCTGATCAAGATGACTTGTGCCTATTATTCTGCTATATCTGAAGCTAAAATTAAAAAACGTCCGCCTGCTGATCCCAATTTGGGTAAGTGAGGTGATACAATATGTTTTATGTTTCATTATTGATTCTACAGGTAATTATTGCCTGTACCCTCTGGACACAACCCAGCATGATAAGTGCTGAGAATGTCTATGGTGAGACAAAAAGTCACTCATAGCATAGGTAGGGGAGCTGTTCTTTGATCCCCCAGTGCCAGAATCCTGATTCTCTCAGTGAGTCCTATCGATATTACCTCCAAAACATACCTGGAATCTGAACACTCTTCACCGCCACGACTATTGAAATGCTGGGTCAAGCCACTGTCATCTCCTGGTGGATGTAGTTGTAGCCTCCTAAGGAGTCTCTGCCGTTACTTTTGCTCCTTACATTCTAGTCTCTACGTAGCTACCATACTTATCTCCAAGCCTCAATGGGATCATGCTGTGTCTCTATTTATAACTTTATGATAATTTCCTATTACAGTTGGAATAAAGATCCAGATTCTTTGCCGTGGCCAGTGAGGTCATCCATGCTTTGCCCTCCCTCCCTAAGATGTGCCAGCCACCCTGCCTGCCTGCTGTCCCTCCAACACGTTGAGCTCCTTCCCTTCCCAGGGCTTCTGTGTTTCCTGTTCCTTGTGCTTGGTTGCTCTTCCCTATGGTATTTGTGTGCCTCCTCCTCTTCACTGAGGGTTTGGCTTAAATGTCATTTCCTCAGGAGGCTTCCTCTGGCCAGCTAGCTAAACAGCATTCCCCTTTTCTCCTCTCTCCCTCTGCTCCTGGTTATTTTCTCACATGTTATTTTGTTCTCAGCACTTTTCACTACCTAAAATTATCTTCAGCGTTTTTAAAATCTGGTCCCTCTCTTTCATACACTAAAATGTAAGGGCAGGGGCTTTGTCTGTCTTATTCCCCACTGTCCAGAATTATGCTGGCCTGCGGTAAATATTTGCTGAACAAACTGTAGGGAAACTATTTTGAGTCAGAGCCCTCACTGTATTGGTTACTAGATAGTGACTCCTCATAAAGGTGCTAAGACATACTTTATGAAAGATACGACGCTAAATTAGAAGTGTGCATAAGAATTATATATAAAGCTATTCATTTAAAGATTACATTTACAAATAATTCTTTATGCAATGGAAATACACTTATGGTTTTATAAGGGAGAACCCAGTCACAAAGCTCTGAGGAGCAGGGACAGAAAGTGCAGTGTCCTCAGATGCCAGGTGGTACCCTAGATAAATGAGCTGGAGTGTAAAGTGGTTGGACATGGTAGGGGGGCCCTGATGAACTGAAGAGTGGAGCCCCCATTCTAAAAGCATGAAGACTTAACATTAAAAACAAAAAATGTGATCTGAGTTCTATGGCTGCCACCTTTGAGTTTAACATTATTTCGTATGTGTTAAAACAAATAGGCAAAAATGAACTGTATTTAAAAAAAGAAATGTCTAGGAAATAAACCCAGGAGGCAATAATCCACAAAGTTAACAATGGTTGTCTCTGAGTATTGTTTTCATGGCAGTCTTTTGTTTATCTATCTGAGTTGAATTTCCCCCCCCTCCTCAGCTTATTATTTTATTTAGGGAAAAACAAAAGAAATATCTTTCATTACTAAAGTGTAATACATTGTCGTTACAAAATTTTCAAATGATGCCAAAGTAGACACAATATGTTCAAGTTTCTCTTCTCCCTCCTCCCCCATGTTATCCTTCTTAGAGTTTCATTCATTAAGCCTGCCCTTCCCTCCCTCCCTCCCTCCCTCTCTCTCTCCATATATATATATCTATGTGTATGTGTGTATATTATATATATCTGTATATCTATAGATATAGATATCTATATATATTATATCTATAGATATAGATATCTATATATATTATATCTATAGATATAGATATATGTACACACACATATATACACACACGCACATCTACACATACACACACAAACACACACACACACCCTATTCTTCATATATCTGTATGCATATCTATATCTCCGTTGGATTTATTACTACTTCTCCCCAGAACCTGGATATCCAGTTGCCTACTAGCCACTTTTACTTTGATGGCGAGCAGGCATCTGAAACATAATGCATATCGAACCAAAGCCTTGAGTTCTCACCATCCCTGTACCTGTTCCTTCTTAGCAAATGTCATATGCAGCTATTGGGTGATAAGGGTAAAAGCCATATTGTTGTTCTGAGCTTTTATCTTTATCTTAAAATCCAACATTCAGTCTGTTAACAAGCCTGTCAGCTTTACTTGCGAAACAAAACTGGGACCTGAAAACTTTTACCATTTATTTCTTATCACTGTGACCAGTTGGTTCTTGGGATTATTTTCTCCTCCTATAAAAAGTTAAAATTTTTATTATTTGCACACCCGTAATGAATGGACAACTAGGTTCACTCACTAGCTGCTGTAGTCAGTCCCTCTTCCTGCCACATAACACACAGAATTCTCTCTTTTTTTTTTTTTCTTTGAGACAGGTTCTTGCTCTGCCACCCAGGCTGCAGCACAGTGGCACCCCCATAGCTCATTGCACACAGGATCACACCTGGGCTCACCTGATCCACTCCTGAGTAGCTAGGGTTACAGATGCACGCCACCATGCCTGGCTAATTTTTTAATTTTTTGTAGAGACCAGGTCTTGCTATGTTGCCCAGGCTGGCCTTGAACTCCTGGGCTGAAGCAATACTCTCACCTCAGCCTCCAGAATAGCTGGGTTTACAAGCATGCTCCACCGTGCCTAGCCAGATTCTGTTTTTTGACTCAGTTTATTCACAGAACATTGTAGTTCATGGGTTTTTATGATTAATAATGTTAATGCATGAATGTTAAATGCATGAAGGTCAAGTGCCTTTTTCTCATGGTAGAGTATACAAGCTTTGACCTAAGAAATGCTAAAAGCTAAAAATAAAAATATTTTAAAAATGCATGAATTTTAGAAGTTTACCTCTCACTTCTTAGGTCTAGCATTTCAGAAAGAGCTTTTTGGGGCTTTTCTGTTTCAAGCTGTGCCACTAGCGACTGGGTAGATTTAAAGCAAAGTCCTCAGGCTCTCCAGATATCAGTCTTCCTAACCTTGATCCTGTCCAGGGTCCATGTTGTGTTTGTCATGTCTTTTTAGTTGTCTTTAATCCAGAACAGTTTTTGAGCCTTTCTTTTTCTTGACCTTGATATTTTTGAAAGGGACAGGCCAGTTATTTTGTGGAATGTCTCTTGATTTGCGTTTCTCCAGTTCCTCTTGATTAGATTCAGGCTATCACTTTCAGTAGGAGTACCATGGTTGTGATGCTGTGAACCTCTCAGTGTATCCTATCCTGGTACTACTGGTGGCAATCACCTTGATTTTTTGGGTAAGTTGGTGTCTACTAGATTTTCTGCTTCAAAGTTACAAAGTTATTTTACCCTTTGATCTTGCTTTACTGTCACCTTGTTACACCTAACACCTCATACTCTCTACTTTGTCTTCAGCACCTTCTTCAACTTCTTTAAGCAAATTACACAGGATATGTGAAAGCATTTGGCTGGGTAGATGTAGCTATAATGTAGCAAGTTTCACACTCCAAGCAAAGGATACAGCCAAGGAAGTACACACATATATGTGTTGAATCGAATTAAATTACATACACTTCAGAAGATTAACTTGCAGTAATAGGTTCAGTGTTCTGGCTTTGATAGCAGAAGGAATCATTCAGCACGTTTGGGGCAAGATTGACTATTGAGTGTCACCCTTTTCTGGAGTTGGTTTTACGACCTGCATTGTCTTGATGATTGTTTTTAGGATTTGTGAAGTGTTTTCAGTAGGAATGGCTTTTATTCCTTTGCAATAGAAACATATGTTTTATTTTCAGTTCCTGCTACATCCAGCATTGAAGCAGAACTATAAAGCACTGCTGTTTGCTTTTATTGAAGGGAGTTTTTCCTAAAGTTAAGTGGGCTAACAGCAACAAGGAAGCAACACAGAGATCCTCACTATCATTATGCAGAGGGTGACAGATCTAAAATGTAGGTTAAATGGGTTGCTGCCCGGGGAAGCTTGCAGCCAGCAAAGACATACCCAGTACAGCGTGTGCCCAGAAGTGAGAGACACCTTGCGTTTACGGATGAGGTCTCACGTGTAACTTCAAAGTGGGAAATGAAATATTTGACTTGGAAAACTCTGAACGTTAGGGCAGAAATTTTCAATAGTATGAATTAGGGAAGCCCCAAAGAAGAATTGGTTGTTCTTAGTCCTAGCGAGACCTAAAAAATAAAATAAAGAAGAGGTTTCAGTAGACATGGCATTTGGAAAATGCCATCAAATAGGTGATGTTGCTGCTTGAGGGAAAGTATGCCAGAAATAATACTTTTGGTTTCAGATACATATTTTTAAGAGTTGTTTCGTTTTTAAGAGAACAAGAATGCTTACCTGTCTTGAAAGTTTTGAGCCCACCAGAGAAAAGCATTTAAAGCAGGCTAGTTAATACTTAAAATTGAAATGTAAAACACATATTAAGTTATGCAACTAAAGAAAGTCTCTGAAAAGATTAGGAAATATGACTTTACAGTAAATAACCAAACTTTGTGCATTTATTCGTAGGAATTTCCCCTGTGAGGAGTCTTGTCGCTGAATCAACTAATGATAACTACAGCATTTTCTATCGTGATTGCCATCTCTGTAACAGCTAGCATTTCTCCAGCACTTGAGGAATCCTCGGCTCTGGGTTAAGCAGGGTTATGGTGCTCAGTGTATTCCTAGGTTGAATCAGCTCCTGATGTGTGGTGGGAAATGATCTGGGTTACTTGAGGAAGCTTTTCAGCCTTGGGCATGCCTTGTCCCCTTGCTATTGAACCTAAGGCTGTGTTTTCTTTTTGGCTTGTGTGAGAACAGTCAATCCCTCACAGGTTTATTGGCCCATTGACTCTCTGCTGGGATTACTGTGGTGTGCAGTGATACCATGTTCCCCATTGCATTAGTAAAAGTTTGCCTGGTTCTATGTATATTTAGTCCATTTTCATTTTCCGATTTCATTCTCCTTTCACAGATGAGGACAGT